GGCAGCCAGCCAGTCCTGCCCCCCCGCGGCGCTCAGACGACGAACTCGGGGACTTCGTCGTGGGTGAGATCCAACGAGAAGTATTTGCTGGTTCTTTTGACGGGGAAGGTCTCCTGGATGTTGATGCACTGCTGGGCCAAGCAGCCGTTGCAGTAGAGCCCTTCCTCCTCCAGCCCATGGGCGCAGCCGAAGGTGTAGCTCTGGGCTGTATCCTGGCAGAGGTTGGCCAGCTGCAAGAAGTCCTTCTGGTAGAGCCGAATGTCATCCAGGCTCAGGCTGTGCCGGTCCGTCGACGTCTTCGGTTTCCTGCACGTCGTCTGGGCAAAGCGGAGAGGAGGCTCAGGACCCGCCGGGGAGCCAAGGGGGTCGGGGAAACCCAAAACCCCGGTGCCAGCAGGGCTTTGGGTTGCACCAGAGCTCCACCAGCGCCACGTACCTGGGGTAAGGAGTCAGTGCTCTGCCCCCGCAGCTTCACCACTGTCTCTGAGGAGCTGGAGGTGGAGGAGCTGATCTCTTTCACGATTAGCCCTGCATGGGGGAGAGAGGAAGAGGAGGGCGCGACGGTTATTTCGAGACTTCTCAGCTCTCTTGGGATCCGTGCCCGCCGCCCCTGGGGGCCTGCCCTTGCTTTGGGGCAAAGGCACCCTCAGCTCAACGGGGCCCCGATGGCTTCGCTTGCAAACAGCTTTAGAATCATAGAATCATAGAATCATAGAATCATAGAATCATTAAGGTTGGAAAAGACCTCCAAGATCATTGAGTCCAACCGTCAACCCAACACCACCATGCCCACTAAACCATGTCCCTAAGCGCCTCATCTACCCGTCTTTTAAATACTTCCAGGGATGGGGACTCAACCACTGCCCTGGGCAGCCTGTTCCAATGTTTAACCACTCTTTCAGGAAAGACATTTTTCCTCACGTCCAATCTAAACCTCCCCTGGCACAACTTGAGGCCGTTTCCTCTTGTCCTTTCGCCAGTTACTTGGGAGAAGAGACCGACCCCCACCTCGCTACAGCCTCCTGTCAGGGAGTTGTAGAGAGCGATGAGGTCTCCCCTCAGCCTCCTGTTCTCCAGGCTAAACAACCCCAGCTCCCTCAGCCGCTCCTCAGCAGACTTGTGCTCCAGACCCCTCACCAGCCTCGTTGCCCTTCTCTGGACACGCTCCAGCACCTCGACGTCCTTCTTGGAGTGAGGGGCCCAAAACTGAACACAGTATTCGAGGTGCAGCCTCACCAGTGCCCAGTACAGGGGCACGATCACTTCCCTGCTCCTGCTGGCCACACCATTTCTGATACAGGCCAGGATGCCGTTGGCCTTCTTGGCCGCCTGGGCACACTGCCGGCTCATGGTCAGCCGGCTGTCGACCAGCACCCCCAGGTCCTTTTCCGCCAGGCAGCTTTCCAGACACTCTTCCCCAAGCCTTTACCTGCAAAGCATCCCAAATTTGCACCAAAATAGCATCCAAAGCCTTCCCCAGGGAGCCTGGCACCCTGGAGACCTCCTAGTAGCACCCAGCACGGAGCTGGAAATGCGTGCGACTCTCTGGGTGCAGGCACAGCTCCAGAGAAGCCAGGCTCACACGTGTGATAACAGCACCCGTGCTCGTGGGAACAAGCAAAGGGATGTCACGAAGATGAGAGTGGGGGCCAGCAGTTGAGAACATCGCCAAAACTATATCCATTGCCTGTGGGCAGCTCCTGCCATCGTCCTCCGGTATCTCCAAATAATCCGGCGTGCCTGGGCACGCACCCCCGTGCCACGGGGCGGCAGCACGGAGCATCAGCCCTGCTCCGAGTAAAACCTGCACCTTTCCTGGGCAACCCCTTCTTTTTATAGCTTCACCAAATTTACCCCATCTCTCCTTCAACACACTGGCTGAACGGCTTTTCCCGGCGTCCCAGATGGACACCTCGGAATAGTTTCGCTCTGCCGAACACAAAAGGTGTGACTGGCATTGGGGAATTGGAAATAAAAGCGGCCGCCGCCTTACCCGAGTGCCCGTTGAACTTGCGCGACAGCAGCATGTCCTCCGTGATGTAGACGCACATGTCGGGGCTCACCTCCATCTCGCCAGCCTGCTCCAGCTCCCGGGGGTCATCCACCAGCATCTCGATTTCTGCAAGGGGGGAGGAGGTGGGACGAGTCATTGACGTGCACCTTCAGAGCACCCTCCAACCCAATTACCCGGTGAGACCCAAGCCAAAGAGCCCGTGCCAGCTGGTGTCTCACCGTCATCCTGGGAGTCCTCCTCCAGCCGGTCCTTCCCACCGCTCTCCACTCCGGAGGTGTGGGAGCTGCCGTGGCTGGTCATGGAGCTGCAGGTCTTCAGCTTGCGGTGAGCGCCGGCGCCCGAGAAGCCGTCCTCGGGCCCCATCTCCCTGGGTTTGGGGTCGGTCTCGATGCCCGAGGTGTGGGAGCTGCTGTGGCTGGCGGTGGAGTGCCGGGAGAGGCGCTTGTGCCGGATGCTGCCGGCGCTG